CGTGCCCATGCCCTCTGCGTGTACTGACCAGTATAAAGGTGGTGCCACCGAAGACTTTCCTGGTTGGTTGTACCTCGACCTGTGAACCCTCGGGTAATGGTTGAGCCGCCAGCTCGTCCTCTTGAGTTGACATCCCACCACCTGGACCTGGCGTCCTAGCTCACAGTAACTTTATCATATAACCAGTGACGAGCAGGGGTGCCATAGACACAGTCAGAGAACACTATAAACATCAGAGGTCCGCGGTTGTTCAACACCCTCCCAGCGAGTATAGAAAATATTGCCGGAATAACCGTGGACATCTTCAAGATAAAACTAGATAGCTTTATTCAAGGAGTGCCGGACCAACCGGGCTGTGGTGGATATGTGGGCCTGCGGGACGCTCCAAGCAACAGCCTGGTGGACCAAACTCTCACAAGTCAAGCCTGACCTCGGGCCGGGCTTGGGAGTAGAACTCCTAGAACCCCATCCAGGAACAATCCAGGTTATTTCCATACTTGCTAATGTAACGCCGTCCAGCTATACGTCAGGGATGTTTCACTACGTCACAGACATGATGACATGAGTACCCACTTGTCTTGATGCAGCAAGCAGAGGGATCCAGTATATTGTGTTTATGATGAACGGATAATAGTGCATGGTGATGCCTCCAGACACCAGTACTTGTTGCTCCTCCGTACAGACTCTTGCACTTCGACACATCCATTCATACATTCCTTCTATAAATAAGGAATCAAAGGTCGCGTTTATCTCTGACTTGTGATAAGATGTGCGTATTTGGCTATTGTTGCCTTCCCACCCTTGCCACTATGGGGGTATAGGGTTTTATATAGCTTGAGGGCACCCGTCCCCCCCAACCACAGGGCATGGGGGGAGAGGTGGGTGGTGCACCTTCAGCACACATACTGCCCTACCAACACAAACTACAATATATATAAATAGTTACTTGGCACATCTCACTCACACGAGTTAAGATAATAATAATAATGATAAGAACGATAGCCAAATCTTTTATATTTTGTTTTTCTTATAAAGACACAGCACACAAAGAGAGGAGTGCACATTATATAATTAAAAAAGAACTAAAGGTGAAGGCAAAACAGCAAGCTGTCCAAGCGGCAGGTATGGTGACTTTGGAAGGAAGCGGAAGCTCCTAGCAAGGCCCCGGAGCGGGAGGGTTGTCAGGTATGCCCACGGGGTCCCTCCGGCCGCCGCCATACTCACTCGCGGACTCTGGCCAGGTCGTCCACCCTCCTGTGAGAAGCCATTCGGGGGAAGTGGTATCCCTCGATGACGACCCTGCGTAGATTGATTGATAAAGATTAAGCCACCCAAGAGGTGGCACGGGCAGGAATACCCTGTAAGGGTCTATGTAGGTAGTTAGCTACCAGCTTTCCTGGCTGTGGGTATGCCCATCGTGACTATATTTCACCCGGTGCACCCATTGCACTGTGATCCTGGGACTAAGGTGGTCTGCCTCTGGACGTGGACTTAGACCATATTCTGTAGAGGGAATATGTCCAGGTTAGGGCTTTCACACAGCAAATTTCAAGATCGGTTATGGTGAGGCCCATAGCCCGAGGCCCACATGCACTCTCCCTGCACCATCATCCTCTCCAGTTTAGGGTGAGAAGCGGTGGACGCTATGTGCTTACCGGTATATTCCCTGACCCACTGAAGGATCTCTGGGGTGCCGTACTTGTCACACTTGCTCTGATGTGGACGGGAGAGTGGCAAGTTATCAGTAGAGACCTGGATGTCTAATATATAGGCCTCGTCACCTTTGCAAGCAATGATGTCAGGCAGAAGGTCCCTCCATCCGGTACACGGACCTCACGTTCCACCACAAAACCTCTTTGCCGCAGGCGGCCGGCTGCGAACCGGGTGATATTGTCATGACGTTTCACCCGAGCCCCATGTGTCTTGTTGTAGGCTTGGAATATGTGGCCAAGAGTATCGGTCTCCTGCAAGCATCGCAGAGACCAGAAGCCCCGGGTCTACCCCTAGCAGCTCTAGACGGAGTGGCTACAGCTCTAATCTGGATTGCATGGACAAAATCTCTGCTTGGCCCACGTGCACTCCTTAGTACCCTTATGAGGCGGGTACCGGACGAGGCCCACTTGTGGCAGGAAGGAACCTCATAAGGAGAGTCAAGGCTGGCACCGTCACCCATGCTGTACAGTTTTGCCGTCCAAACCCTCAGACGTTCCGTTAGAGGGGGTTCCAGCGGCCATAGTCGGATCATCGACCCATTCGCGCTTAGAATGTAGGTAGGAGAGCCGCTGCCATACCACTGTGTCCTCCGACTCAACCATCGCCCCGAGCCGCTTGCTCTGCAGTAGGCGGATTGATGCTGCAAAGTCGGGAATTCCTAGGCCACCGTCCTTTACGTCAGCGTGGAAGGCGCTGGGAATATTGTGGGGCAAGCCCAGCCACTCACTAACAGCATGCCTATCGAGCCGCGCCAACTCTGTCTTAAACGCCCGTCCGAGAACAAGCTGGTGGTTCATTTTGGAAATTAGGGAGTGTTTAGGTATGTAATCACCTAGTTGCTTATTTACTGCTAGGTGAACAGGGACATCAGGGTGAAAGAAACTCTGCCCATTTATTTTCGCCTTCGCCGGGGATCGATCACCGGACCCTAAGACTACGAATCCCGAGCGCTGTCCCCTCAGCCGTCAGGCCCCATAGCCTCTATTGAGGTTTGAGGGGTGGGGGGGGGGGGATGGCCTTGGTGATTTAAATACTTGTACTGGTCCGCAACACTCGTAGTATCAGTGGCATCAACAGGGACATAACAAGCCCCCCTGGTGGGGCCAGACCAGGCACTCCTGTGCCCGGCCACATGGAAGCACAGCGTAGCGGCATTTCTTTTTTTTTTATTGATATATACAAGAGTTGTTACATTCTTGTACAGCCACTAGTACACGTAGCGTTTCGGGCAAGTCCTTAATCCTATGGTCCCTGGAATACGATCCCCTGCCGCGAAGAATCGTTGTTACAACCAAGTACACATTTTACTGTTGAGTTAAACAGAGGCTACAGTTAAGGATTTGCGCCCAGTAAATCCTCCCCGGCCAGGATACGAACCCATGACAAAGCACTCGCGGAACGCCAGGCAAGTGTCTTACCACTACACCACGGAGACTGGTAAATTCACCTTCAGGTCAGCTCCCGCAGTGTGACAATATTCCTGAGTGGCGCGAGGCCCGCCAGTATCACCTCACCTCACCGCCCTTATCCCGGGATTATCCAAGTGTTTGTTGGTAATTCTCACTTATACCACGTTATCAAAGTTTGCGCAACGCCTCTGACGCACGCTCCTCATACTGAAAGATAGCGTGCAGGCCAGCAAATATACAACACGTACACATACCCCATATATATTTACACACACATGGCGCTCATATATGAACATTAATAACACACACACACACACACGATAGACACATATTGTGCATATATCTGAGTTTAGGGATCATTACAAAAGTATGTGTAGCCCTCGTAGCATGTGACACATGTGTACCACGAATGGTCTAGCCAGCTGGGGGTAATATACACTTATCTTTACCTGTATAACTTTTTAACGGGAAGTTCTGGGTCGATGGCTAAAGATAATGTTATCCGGGTCTGTTAAGTAGGTTCAATGAGAGAGTACTAGGATCTGTCTTAGGCAGCTGTAAGGTTCTTGGTTCTAGGCTTATCGAAACATCAAGGGACCCAAGAGGCACCCCTTTGTGTGGCGACCCAACAACCTGCTCTCACGGAGTTTGTATCCTAATGGTAATTATACGCTCAGATAACTACTCGACGTGAATTATAATAATATCAAGAACGATAATGAGATATCTGATCTCCTTTATCAAGACTAACTTGCTCGGCTAAATGAATTTTAGGGTTCAGTTCCTAAACCCATTATGTGCCTCTGACATTTTCCGCTACCACCCAGGATGGATATGGGGTCCACAACCACTCACAGGATGGGTATGGGGTCCACAACCACTCACAGGATGGGTATGGGGTCCACAACCACTCACAGGATGGGTATGGGGTCCACAACCACCCACAGGATGGGTATGGGGTCCACAACCACCCACAGGGTGGGTATGGGGTACACAACCACTCACAGGATGGGTATGGGGTACACAACCACCCACAGGGTGGGTATGGGGTCCACTACCACTCACAGGATGGGTATGGGGTACACAACCACCCACAGGGTGGGTATGGGGGTCCACAACCACTCACAGGATGGGTATGGGGTCCACAACCACTCACAGGGTGGGTATGGGGTACACAACCACTCACAGGATGGGTATGGGGTACACAACCACTCACAGGATGGGTATGGGGGTCCACCACCACCCACAGGATGGGTATGGGGTACACAACCACTCACAGGGTGGGTATGGGGTCCACAACCACCCACAGGATGGGTATGGGGTACACAACCACCCACAGGGTGGGTATGGTGCCCCTACAAAGCACCACACGTGTGTGTGGAGTGCATAATAAATGAACTAAACTAACAAGCTTTTGCTGGTCTGTGAATGAGTCGAGGATGTCGTTACTTTCCAGGTAATGTTGAAGGTTTGTGGAATATGAGCCAACACCGACGACCCGCCGGCAACCTGTCCCATGTCACGTCCGCCTCCTACCTCAATTAAGTCGTCTCTCGAAAAAAAATCACATCAGGATAAAAATAGCTGTTTATGGGATTAAGCGTTTCTCTTCACACCTTGTGTGTTATCTTGAGTGATATATATCTTATCTCTGACCAAAGATCCCTAGATTGACTACTAACGTAAAAAATCACGGGAAACTCATATGGTTATCAAGAGATTAATATATACGGCAGCTAGTAGGTGATACACCGCACTGGAAGCTGTACACGAGGAAGGAAGTGGAATAGAAGGAAGGAGAGGTTGTGAAGGGGAGAATGAGGGAAGCAGAAGGGTGTAGTAATTAGTGAGAGTAAAGAGTACTTGATGACTGGAGCAGGCGCGGCCAGATAAGAGTGTGAGGGAGCCAGCGAGCATCCCAGTACCACGCCGGCTACAGTCTGGTGCTCTACCCTCTCCACTCCCCACAACCACTCATTACCCACACTTAAATACACACACTTTATGGTCCAAACTTCGTAAAGTATGTACACCATCACTGTGCCGCTTCGTGTACACGTGAAGCTGGATGGTATGATGTATACAGCCTTCCATTGGTACTTTAACTGATAGTGATTGTATAGTGGTGTACACCTGCTAGTGACTGTAACATACAGTGTACACCTGCTAGTGACTGTAACATACAGTGTACACCTGCTAGTGACTGTAACATACAGTGTACACCTGCTAGTGACTGTAACATACAGTGTACACCTGCTAGTGACTGTAACATACAGTGTACACCTGCTAGTGACTGTAACGGTGTAAACTTAAGTTTACAATATTGATGATAATTTATATTACTTTTATTACTAAGAAAGTGCACAAGTTTTTGTAAGTGTGTTTGTGCTTACTTACAATGCGACTACATTCGTACAGTGGATAGTTACAGTGACATTAATATTACAGTACTTTAGTTCTGGGCCATGTTGAGGAGTAAAATATATTTGGTGATTGGTCAGTACTCACCTAATTGAAATTGAAATTGAAATAAGTTTATTGAGGTAAAATACACACAAAGGGATGAGGTAGCTAATTGTGCTTGCGGGGGTTGAGCTTTGGCTCTTTGGTCCCGCCTCTCAACTGTCAATCAACTGATGTACTGGATTCCTGAGCCTACTGGGCTCTATCATATCTACATTTGAAACTGTGTATGGAGTCAGCCTCCACCACATCACTTCCTAGTGCATTCCATTTATTAACTACTCTGACACTGAAAAAAATTCTTTCTAACGTCTCTGTGGCTCATCTGGGTACTAAGTTTCCACCTGTGTCCCCTTGTTCGTGTCCCACCCGTGCTGAAGAGTTTGTCTTTGTCCACCCTGTCAATTTCCCTGAGAATTTTGTAGGTGGTTATCATGACTCCCCTTACTCTTCTGTTTTCCAGGGATGTGAGGTTCAGCTCCTTTAGCCTTTCCTCGTAGCTCAATCCTCTCAGTTCCGGGACGAGCCTGGTGGCATACCGCTGAATCTTCTCTAACTTTGTCTTGTGTTTAACTAGGTATGGACTCCAGGCTGGAGCTGCATACTCCAGGATTGGTCTTACATAAGTGGTATACAGGGTTCCGAAAGATTCCTCACACAAGTTTCTAAAGGCAGTTCTTATGTTGGCCAGTCTAGCATATGCCGCTGATGATATTCTTTTGATGTGGGCCTCTGGGGACAGGTTCGGTGTGATATCAACCCCCAGATCTTTCTTTCTATTTGACTCTTGCAGGATTTCCCCTCCCAGATGATACCTTGTGTTCAGCCTCCTGCTTCCTTCGCCTAATTTCATCACCTTACACTTTCCTGAGTTGAACTTTAGCAGCCATTTTCTAGACCATTCCTCCAGTTTATCCAGGTCATCCTGTAGTCTCTGTCTATCTTCATCCGTCTTGATTCTTCTCATAATTTTTGCATCATCAGCAAACATTGAGAGGAATGAGTCTATACCCTCTGGAAGATCGTTCACATATATTAGAAACAGGATGGGTCCAAGTACTGAGCCATGTGGGACTCCGCTGGTGACATCTCGCCACTCTGATGTCTCCCCCCTCACCGTTACTCGCTGTTTCCTGTTGCTTAAGTACTCCCTTATCCACTGGAGCACCTTCTCTTTTACTCCTGCCTGTTGCTCCAACTTTTTTAACAGCCTTTTATGGGGTACTGTGTCAAAGGCTTTTTGGCAATCCAGGAAAATGCAGTCGACCCACCCTTCTCTTTCCTGCCTAATTTTCGTTGCCTGGTCATAAAATTCTATTAAACCTGTGAGGCACGATTTACCATCTCTGAACCGATGTTGGTGGTGCGTTACAAAGTTATTTCCCTCCAGATGCTCTACGAGCCTTTTCCTCACGATCTTCTCCAGCACCTTGCATGGTATACAAGTTAAGGAAACTGGCCTGTAATTCAGTGCCTCTTGCCTGTCACCCTTTTTGTATATTGGGACCACGTTAGCAGTCTTCCAACTTTCTGGTAAGTCTCCTGTTTCCAGTGACCTGTTATACACCATAGAGAGTGGCACACTTAGTGCTTCTGCACCTTCCTTTAGTATCCATGGTGAGATTCTATCAGGCCCAACAGCCTTTGTCACATCTAGCTCCAGCAGACACCTTTTGACCTCATCACTGGTGAGGTCAAATTCCTCCAAGGTTGCTTGGTTTGCCGCCTCCTCATTTAGTGCAGGGGCTTCTCCTTGTTCTATTGTGAAGACCTCCTGGAATCTCTTGTTGAGTTCTTCACACACCTCCTTGGTGTGTGAACCTACCTCAGTAGGGTAGTGTGGCAGCTCTAATATGTACAGTGGTAGCTCTAATATGTACAGTGGTAGCTCTAATATGTACAGTGGTAGCTCTAATATGTACAGTGGTAGCTCTAATATGTACAGTGCTAGCTCTAATATGTACAGTGGTAGCCCTAATATGTACAGTGGTAGCTCTAATATGTATTGTGGTAGCTCTAATATGTACAGTGGTAGCTCTAATATGTACAGTGGTAGCTCTAATATGTACAGTGGTAGCCCTAATATGTACAGTGGTAGCTCTAATATGTACAGTGGTAGCTCTAATATGTACAGTGGTAGCTCTAATATGTACAGTGGTAGCTCTAATATGTACAGTGGTAGCTCTAATATGTACAGTGGTAGCTCTAATATGTACATTGGTAGCTCTAATATGTACAGTGGTAGCTCTAATATGTACTGTGGTAGCTCTAATATGTACAGTGGTAGCTCTAATATGTATTGTGGTAGCTCTAATATGTACAGTGGTAGCTCTAATATGTACAGTGGTAGCTCTAATATGTACAGTGGTAGCTCTAATATGTACAGTGGTAGCTCTAATATGTACAGTGGTAGCTCTAATATGTACATTGGTAGCTCTAATATGTACAGTGGTAGCTCTAATATGTACTGTGGTAGCTCTAATATGTACAGTGGTAGCTCTAATATGTATTGTGGTAGCTCTAATATGTACAGTGGTAGCTCTAATATGTATTGTGGTAGCTCTAATATGTACAGTGGTAGCTCTAATATGTACAGTGGTAGCTCTAATATGTACTGTGGTAGCTCTAATATGTACTGTGGTAGCTCTAATATGTACTGTGGTAGCTCTAATATGTACTGTGGTAGCTCTAATATGTACAGTGGTAGCTCTAATATGTACTGTGGTAGCCTTAAAAGTTGACAGGAGTTGAGCCCAAACCCGGCTAGTGACCAGGCGAGGTCCTCCTACACACACACACACACACACACACACACACACACACACACACACACACACACACACACACACACAAGGAACTGTTGTTCATTATCTTGACCGAGAACCAAGTCATAGTGACGGGAGCCTCTCGGGACCTCTTTCTTATGTTCTCTTTACTTCACAATAAATATACGCTACCACAAATGAGGTAGCAAATGAGATGTGGAGTAACGGCAGCACCCGACCTACCGCTGGGGCAGCCCGTCCTCTGTTATTGTTTTAGATTCAGCTACTCGGAACATAAGTTCCAAGTAGCACGGGCTATGGTGAGCCCGTAGTGGACTTATCTGCCACAGGAGCGGGGCAAGTAGCGCGGGCTATGGTGAGCCTCGTGACCGTCCTCCTGTTTTGGTAGTACTTATAGTAATCATGACCACCATAGTATAACCACTCACGAGCTATTCATGCCCGTGCCACCTCTTGGGTGGCTTAATCTTTATCAATCAATCAATCATTAGAAAGTAGAAATCGGCACTATTGAGTTGGACAAGCCAGAAAACTATTTTCTACTCATGTTGCAATGACAAACTAAGTTCACCTAACCTGACTTTCCTAGGCCTTATACACTATATCTGAGGCCTAATATAGTACACATGTGTGCTATACTAGGCCTAGGAATATTTAAGTTTGTTTTTAGCTTAATTTTGTCCGACTCTATAAAGTGAATAGTACAAAGTTCAACTATCTAATTGATTAGAACGGCATTATTTGTACTACTATGGTGCACACAGTTACAACAACTACTATCCAACAGGAGAATGGGTTGGGTGGGGATAGTTATGTGGTCCACCTCCCTGCCAGCCTGACTTTTACCACATCAACACTTGCTCACCACACCTGACTCTGCAACACACTACACACTTGCTCACCACACCTGACTCTGCAACACACTACACACTTGCTCACCACACCTGACTCTGCAACACACTACACACTTGCTCACCACACCTGACTCTGCAACACACTACACACTTGCTCACCACACCTGACTCTGCAACACACTACACACTTGCTCACCACACCTGACTGCAACACACTACACACTTGCTCACCACACCTGACTCTGCAACACACTACACACTTGCTCACCACACCTGACTCTGCAACACACTACACACTTGCTCACCACACCTGACTCTGCAACACACTACACACTTACAAACCAAACAACATTCCAACTATGATTCAACAGAGCAGAAGTTGTTATACACATTGGGCATAATCTTACTGAAGCGAAGTAACACTTAGTGTGTCAGACAGAGACTTAGGGCCCCGCGCCGGACAACCCGTCCTCTGACCAAGTCCATTCTACCCAGCGGTCGACCCCAAGGACGCAGTCATCAATTTTAACATTATGTTCATTCACTGAACTTTTCTCAAATATAAATTAATACTATAATATATTTGCATATTGTGCATATATAGGATTAGGTTAGGTTAGGTTAGGTGTTTAGGTTCTGTTGGCGATTATTTGTATTTGTAGTACGTGGGTGAAGCATTTACAGCGTTGTGGTTCGAACAAAAGTCGTCAGTGAAGGACTTGTTCCAGCCCGTCCTCCAAACAAAGACCCAAAAGTGATTCCATGCACCCGCCAAACCCCCAGCTGTTTATGAATGAAAAACGGTTTACACACGACTCACAACTGTTGACGTTCGAACACTTCCGGAACAAGTGCTTCACTGACGAATTTTATTCGAATCACAACGCTATAAATGCTTCACCCGCGTACTACAAATACAA